CAACATTATATATATATATATATGGATCGGGCTGCACGCTGCAGCAGTATATTATTGGATCGGGCTGTGCACCGCAGCAGCATATTCATATGGATCGGACTGCACGCCGCAGTAGTATAGCGCTTGGGCTGTAGGAGACTCTCCGGAGTCTGCACACCCCAGTGAGCGCAGTCGACTATTAGTATTGGATCGGGCTGCACGCCGCAGCAGTATACTATATGGATCGGGTTGCACGCCGCAGCGTTATAATTATGATTTCGGTTATCGTGAGGAGTAAATGAGTTGAGTACTGACTTAAAGGATTTTTACCTGATTTCTTCATTCAGTTGTTGTTTAAATGTTTTTACTGCTTCGATATAGAACTGCTTAGTGCTTTTTATGAGATTTCTTTCCGTTAGTCATTATTTATTGCTATTACTCACTGAGTCGGAGTACTCACTTTACTCTCTGCACCATGTGTGCAGATACAGGTATTCCGGAGGCGTAGATTGAGTTATTGCTGCTAATCGGATCTCACCGGAGTCATCGAGGTAGCTGCATGGCGTCCGCAGTCCCGATTTCTCCCTCTATCCTCTTTACTTTCAGCATTTTAGACTATCTTTTATTTAGGCCGTTCCTCAGACTTGTATTAGAGGCTCTTGACTCGTGACACCAGATCGGTGGGATTTGTAGTGATATTTCTTGATTTTCGCACATTTTATCTACTGTTACAGATTTTATAATCATGTTAATTTGATATTTAAACACTGTTAATTGGTAATGAACTCTATATGAGGTATTGAGAGTGTTGAATTGGTCAGGCTTGCCTAGCACTGTGTTGGGCGCCATCACGACCGGGTTGGGGTCGTGACAAGATGCATGTGAGAATGATTGTATCTTATATTGGAGAGAGTATGCCAATGCCGAATCATGTCCTAAGTGCAGTAAGTCTAGATGGAAGTCAAAAGATACTGGAGGCAAGAAAGTAGCTCATAAAGTATTGCGACATTTTTCCAATCAAACCAAGACTACAGAGATTGTACATGACAAAAGAGACAGCAAAAAAAATGAGGTGGCACAAGGAGCAAAATATTGATGATGGTGTATTGCGACATCCATCCGATGGCATGGCTTGGAAATCTTTTGATGAGCTCCATCAAACCTTTTCAGCTGAATCAAGAAATGTTCGATTAGGTTTAGCAAGTGACGGCTTCCAGCCTTATGGGAACATGAGTACTAGTCATAGCATTTGGCCAGTCATATTAGTTCCATACAATTTGCCACCATGGGATTGCATGAAGGATCCATATTTCATGATGACACTTCTTATTTCAAGTCCTAAGTCTCCAGGCAATGATATAGATATATACTTGCAACCAATGATTGAAGAGTTAAAAGAATTATGGGAGGGGGTGGAGACTTATGATGCATACTCAAAAACTAACTTTATGATGTGTGTGGCTATCATGTGGACGATTAATGATTTTCCTGCATATAGGAACCTTTCGGGATGGTCAACCAAAGGTAAACTTGCATGTCCTTGTTGCCATAAAGATACACAATCAGTTTCTTTACGTAATAAGTTGTGTTATATGGGTCATCGTCGCTTTCTTCCAATGGACCATCCATGACATAAAAAATAGGAGGTTATTTGATGGAAAAATAGAGATGGGTGTTGCACCTAATCCCTTAACAGGTGATGAAGCACTTGAGCAATTACAAAGTTTGAGAAATGTGACTTATGGTAAAGGGCAAAAGCGAAAGCGTAATATTCCCAATGATGCTTACAATTGGCGGAAGAAAAGTATTTTTTTCGAATTGCCTTATTGGAAGACTCTTATGTTACGACATAACTTGGATGTAAGCACATAGAAAGAAATGTGTCTGATAATATTGTATCTACTGTGATGAATATGACTGGAAAGACGAAGGACACGGTGAAAAGTAGATATGACTTGGTGGATCTTGGAATCAAGCAAGGGTTGCACCCGGTTGAGGATGGGAATAATATTTTATTACCGGCAGCATGCTATGCATTATCCCCCGATGAGAAGTTGAAGGCATGCACTTTCTTAGCTAATTTGAAGGTTCCTGATGCCTTTTCATCAAACATATTAAGGTGCGTCAACATACAAGACAAAAGGATACATGGATTGAAAAGTCATGATCACCACGTATTGTTGAAAGATATTTTTCCAGTAGCTATACGTGGCTTGTTGCCTAAAGAAGTGTGTGAACCAATTATAGCATTAAGAATTTTTTTCAAGAATCTATGCTCTAAGTGCTTGACAATTGAAGATCTTGATATCCTAGAGGCTGAAATTCCTATCATATTATGCAAACTTCAAATTGTTTTTCTTTCGGCTTTCTTTGATGTTATGGTTCATTTGCCAATTCACTTGGCAAGAGAGGAAAAGCTTGGTGGACCAGTTCAAACTCGATGGATGTACCCTTTCGAGAGGTAATGTATTTTTCATATAAATTTCAATACTAATGTTTTAGAATGACACGTTAGTTATATTATCTAATCATTTGCATATAGGTGTATGGGAACACTTAAGTCATATGTTCGAAACCAAAATTGTCCAGAAGGTTCAATTGCAGAAGGTTATTTGGCAGAAACATTTTGCTCACGATACTTAAAGAATATCTCAACCAAGTTTAATAGATCGGCTAGGAATGGTGATGAATCCGTGTCAAATGCTGAAATGTCCATCTTTAAAAATAGTGGGCAAAAAAAAGGTGGTTCAAAAACCATCACACTATATCATGATGAGTTTAAACAAGCATGTATGTATGTTCTTCAAAATTGTGAAGAGGTTTGGCCATTCATGGAGTAAGTTTCTATTTTTTAGTCAATTCTGAGATAGTTTCGGATTTGATTTCAGATTTGAATAATTCATTCACTCTCTTAACTAATTCTATCTAAAATGTAGGGAACATACAAAAGAGATTGAAAGACAAAGTTCAAGAAGAGATGAAAGGCATAACAATGACTTTCCTATTTGGTTTAGTGCACATGTAAGTGTTAAATCAATCTCATTTTAAAAACTTTTTGATTATCCTATTATATTATTGGTTAAGAGGGAGTTATTTGTCTTACTTTGTAGATCTTGCAATTAGCTGCACAAGGAAATGCTAATGATGAGCTCATAAGCTTAGCAATCGGTCCTGGACCAGTGGTGCATCGATATTCCACATTGATGGTGAATGGATTTAGATTCCAAACAAAAGATCTTGAATCAAGAAGAAAAACGCAGAACAATGGAGTTCTTGTGAGAGGAGATGATTCAGACTCTAAGAAGGAGTACTATGGTGTATTAGAGGATATTTACGAGTTGTCGTATCTGGGAAATAGAAAAGTTTACCTCAGGTGTCATTGGTGGGATGTGGTTCACTTAGGAAAAGGATATAAAATTGACAAGCATGGTTTCACAAGTGTGAATACTCGATGTGCCTTGAATACAAATGAACCATTTGTGTTGGCATCTCAATCTGAACAAGTTTTCTATGTCAACGACATGGTTGATAAAGATTGGCTTGTTGTTTTAAAGACAAGCCCTCGCGACCTTTTTAATATGCCTGAAGAGGATGATAATTGCACAAATGTTGAAGATGAAGCATTACAGAATGGAGAAGCTTACCAACAAAATGAAGTTGAATTTAATATGGAGCGTAATGGTGATCAAGAAAAATGATATTTTAGTGTCTTTACACAGGGATGATGTTGAACCTCACATCATTAATTATGATCATGCAATAGAACAAGCTGGGACAAGTGGGCATAATGAAGAAGATGGTTTCATTAATGATAATGATATAGATATGACCGAAGATGAAGAAAGCGAAGAAGAGATATTTGATGATAATGAAAGAGAGGATAGTGATATGGACTGATCAAAGAAATAGCTTCCTATCTGTAGCTTTTTTGTGCTTTTTTAAGCAAGGCTTCTTATGCCTTTCTAGCCTCTGTTATTTTGCCATTAATATGAATTTTTGAATGGGGTACATATAACTTTAAAGCATACTCAATTTTTTATAAATAAGTGCATATGCAACCTTTGATATTCTTTTCTATCTTGCATTACAACTATTCTGCCACTTTATCTTCTATTCCTGTTAAAGGTTTGTCCTTTGGTTCAAGGTCATTGAAGGATTGTGTCCTGCTTGGTTTGTTGTAACTTGGTTTGATTTGTTTATAGTTTAGAATTGAGAGGATATGATATAAACACTGTAGAGAAAGACAAAAGTTTTTATGGTGCATTAAGCAGATTCTAACCAAGAATTCTAAAATGTAAACCTTTATTTATATTTTTATGTGATGCTGCAGGAAATGGCAGGAATTGGACGAGGTAAAGGTAGGGGAGGAGGAAAGAGTCGTGGATGCAGCAATGTAGGAGTACTACATGATAATTCTAGTGTGACGTCATCCTTTAGGCCTAATCCACAAACACAACCATCTCCAGATATGGGACAATCGAGTAACCCTCATCAAGTACAATCTATGGACTCATTATCATCAAGGGATTTTGTAGAAAGTGTGCATCCCACTCCAGAGACTGAAAATAGTGGTGCAGGTTAGTTCTTTATTGAATCGGAATCATGTATTTCAGTTGGCATTTTTTAGTTATTTTTGGTTATTTGTATTGAACATACAGATTTTATTCTGTTTGTTCAGTCTATATGTTATAGGACCAAATAATAAACCTAAACTTTTGAAGGAGTACAAGTTGTTTGGTCATTATGAATTTATTTCAGCCATTCTGGTATTGACCATGGCTATACTGTTGCTTCACTTGTTCAAAGTTGCAATTGCTTCGACTCCGTCGTTTCATATGAAATTAGCCTGTATCTATTGCAAATTGACATATTTAGGCCATAGTATTGTTTTATATGAATATACAAACTGTGTCATAATAGTCTCATATAGCTTAATTTTTCAAAGCTCCATTGTTTGTGTTCAATTCCCTGTCAAACACAACTTTTGCCTACTTCAACATCATCAGAAATGAAATTGCAACTAATTAACTAACTAGTTCACTTTTTATTCATGAAATTTTGAGACTAAGGTACCCGGAATCCAAGTCTATCGCGTTCATTTTTACATATTATGCACATTTGACAAGAGAAAGAACACTATTCAGTGTGTAACTGATCATCAAGCAGAAGCAGCAGCTTTGCAAATTGGCAGGTCATTTGGAGAATTAGGTGGAATCCTCAGAATTGGATAGCTCTCAAAGAAATTCACTGGCTTTATCTCAAAACTTGATGATACTGTTGGCATAATTGGGAAGTCCTCTTGACATGGAATATGATGGAAACCTAATGTATACCACAACTCTATGTCTTTATTCTCAATTGGCCTGTCTCTGCAAAATAGAAAGAAAGAGTGTTAATTACTCTAAAATTTCCAAGCCAATTCAAACAGTTCTATCTAAAGTCAAATAAAACTAATAAAAGGGTGTGTGGAAAGTTCTTGTTTTGCAATTAATCATGAACAAATCAATGGTTAAATGATCCCAGCTTTCACTCTTTCAAATTCTGAACCTAAAATCATTCTGTATGATCTAACCATGAACAACTAAAGTCATGTAGAATAAATCTACTTATTACGCGAGTATGACAGAAATTTTCTTATTCTTGTGAAGGTAATCTTTGTGAAAAGAGAGATAATAAGAAAGGCAGAGGGAGATACAAATCTCTACATGTGGATATGAAAACTAAGTATGGCAGTAAAATTCCCATCATCATACCGGATGACATTGTGAGAGCTGTAGGTCCAGGGTCTAGGGATATTGTAAACTACTGTGGCTTGATATCTCAATCAGAGATGGTGATTGGAAAGCAATAATTGCGAAACATGGAGAAGCGATGTGGTTGAAGGTTAAGGTAATAATTTACTTTCAATATCACATTGACTTTATATCATACATTTTATTTACTTTCAATAGCTATACATATTTGTTTTAGGATAAATTTGAAGTTGGTGGTATGCGAGAACATGTGTTGCAAGCTCTTGTTGTTGACACTATGCGAAGGCTTTTTAGAGCATGGAAGACTCGATTGCATAAAGAATACAGTCTCTATACTATTGATAAAGAGAGACTGTCTCATAGGCCGGATGATGTTACGCCTGAGGATTGGGTGTTTCTTGTAGGACTTTTTGGGAGTCCAAAATTCAAGGTAACGTTGTAATAAAAATTCTTGATACATCAATATTTAATTATTGGTTCTTATGTATTGATTTAATTGCTAGGCTGCAAGTGAGAGGAACAAACTTAATAGGGGAAAACAAATAACTAAGCACTCTTGTGGCTCAAAATCATTTGCCGGAGTGGAGGAATCGACGTTAAATGCATTTACCACAATCACTATAAAATTATTCGTCAAATATATAACATTTTATGTGTTTATAAATATTTTCCTCTACTGAAATATATTTTAGAGAGATCCTGTTAGTGGAAACAAAGCAGCACCAGATCGAGTTTGGGAGCTCCAACATACTCGTAAGGATGACAAAGGAGAAACTGTGTGGTCAGATCCACAGTCGCAACAAATACATGTAATTTCTTAGCATCATTATTTTGTTATTTTATTATCTGTTTCCTATTTTATACTATAAATTCATACATATTTGTAGGGCCAACTCAATGAAATTGTAACTCAACAACAATCTGAAGAAAATGAGCAGCCAATGAGTGCAGATGAGATTTTAGCCACTGTACTTGGCGAACGAACTGGCTATGTTCGTGAAAAAGGGTATGGAAAGAAGCCTACCAAAAAAAAAGCAGTTTGCAGCATGTAGCCTTAGAGGCAAGTATGTCTTCTCAAATGGAAAGAATGCGTCAAGAGATGCAAGAGGAAATGGATAGAAAATTACAAGAAGAACGTGAGCAAATGGCTGCCGAGTTGAAAAACAAGCTAGAAGAAGAAATGACTGCTGAGTTGCAAAGTAAGCTAGAAGAACAAATGGTTGCTGAGCATGCACGGACGGATTTACAAGTTGACAAAAAGTTTGAAGAAAAAATGAATGCATGGCTGATCAGAATGCAACAGGTAGGGATTTCGCTTGAAATCAGTTTAGTGTATATTCATAATCATAAGCTTTATATAGGTATTTCTCTTGAAATCAGTTTTACTCTATATTTATTAAAACTGAATGAGTTGTTAGTGCTTAATTGAAGAGGCTTTGCAAAGGCAAAAACTAGATCTCCATTTCTATTCCTAACAATCCCTCCCGTTCCTGCTGTCTTCATATTACTGTTGCTATCAGTTATCATCGGGCCTTGCCCATGTGATAGGATTAGAAGTTAATCTTATCCTTAATTGTTCCAGTTCAATAGCAATTCTATTCCAGGACCAGCTATTGTTTATCTGTATGCCTTCTCTGCCCAAATGTACCTTTACATGAAATAAAATCTCCTGAAAGATCTTATATCTAGAGATTTTTTTATTTCCATATCTGGTACTGCACCTTGCCTTCCAAAGTTTACAAATGTATATAGGCAGGATTTGAATTAGAGCCCTGTGTGCATAGTTATTATCTTTCATCTTCCAGAAGGTCTGTAACATATGCATGAGATTTTGAGGACTTCGGTTAATGCCTAAAGGATCACAGAAGCTTTTCCAAATTGCTGAGGCATTTTCTCCAAGAATAAAAATGTGGTCAATAGTTTCCTCTTGAGGATTTTTGCAACAGCGACATTTGGACATAGTTATTTGACCAAACCTGGAGAGGAATTCCTCTTAAGTTTCCAGTTGCTTGATCACTGTTTTTGGAGGTGATATAGCTGCTAGAGTATGCAAAGTTTTCCAGTAAAGAACTACTTCATCAAACTTGAACCAGAGGAAATTGTTTGTTTGGCAATGTTAGGAACTCCTCATTAGGACATGTCGATAATTGGCAACTATCAACAACAGAATATTCATATCTTATATGACACCAAAAGGTCAAGTGGCTGGGATTTGCACCAACAAGATGTGCTGATGCCTGATAGTGTTGTTTAGCTTTTTTGGGTTGAAGGTGGAAAACTGTAAACATAGTTGGGGGTTAAGGTTTGTGCTTATTTTTTTGCTGATTTTTGAACTAGTATAGATACAATATGTAGGTTATATCTTTTTCTCCCCTTTAATTTTAGGTGTTTAGATGATTATATGATTATACATTGTTGGACAGAAACTGATTATAATTTATATAAGGAAACTTTTAAGAGATTTTTCCATATCTGGATGACTGCTTTTACAATTCACTACTACACTTTTCCAATCTAAACTTGGTTATTCTAGTTAGGAATGTCTCCAAAAATTAACTTGCATTTAATTGATGTTGAGTTGCAGCCCAGAGATTGAATAGTCAATTCAGAAATCTTAGAATTAAAAGTTATTGCTTGTGAAACTTTAAAAGGTTATTGCTTGTGGGATTTTAAAAGTTTTCGAGAAATACCTTTCTTTGCTTTACTTCTTCTCGCTCTTTTCGGCTAATTTTCTCTTTAAACTTACAGTCGTTTTTTGTACATATGCGTATATTAATGATGTTTATCTTTATTTTTTAATAGCAAGGACAAGATACTTCAAGAACGAGGAAGTGGAGCTGCTCAAGGTGTAGCTTGAAGATATTTTTATGGTCATTTTGTTTATCGTAGAAGACATTGGAGTACGTCTTGAAGACTATTCCTTTTTGTTAGTGTCGTGAAATGGCAATGTATATATACACATTGACTACTTTTGACTGTGTAACTTTTTAACATTAAAAAGACTACAATTCTATTTTGAGAATTGTTATCGGGTTGTACAAATATTTGTAGTTCTATATTTTCTTTTATGGAAAACTAGTATTGTGACGAAAAATAAGAGCTTTTGTGATTATAACCTACTGCCACTAAAAGAAAATATAATTAGTAGCAACATTTTAATGCCACAAAAAATGGAGATTTGATGGCAATACCAAGTTGTCATTAAAATGTAATTTTTAGTAGCGACAAAAGTAGCCACCAAAGTCAGGCTTTGGTTGCACCCATAGTCGCCGCCAATGATTTGTGGCGACATGCGTCGCCACCAAAGGCTAGCATTTAGTGGCGATGGATTCTCTAAAGTGAATTCTAGTGGCAATCCAAAATAAGTTTTGTGACGACAAATGTCGCCACGAAAGGTGGACCTTTTGTGGCGACCATTATAAGTCGCTACCAATAAGTATCTGCCACTTAGTATAGTCAACGACCACTTGGTCGCCACGTCGTCGCCACGAAAGGTATTCTGTGGCGACAATTAAACTTTCTGTGGCAAATTTTGTCGCCACTAAAAGCCCTTTTTCTTGTAGTGCCCGCAAGTCTCAAAGTTGAAGTCTTTAAGTCCGTCGATCTTCAAGTTGAAGTCTTCAAATTCGTTGATCTTTCTGTGGCAAATTTTGTCGCCACTAAAAGCCCTTTTTCTTGTAGTGCCCGCAAGTCTCAAAGTTGAAGTCTTTAAGTCCGTCGATCTTCAAGTTGAAGTCTTCAAATTCGTTGATCTTCAAGTTGAAATATTTAGGCCCTCCAAGTCTCAAAGTTGAAGTCTTCAAGTCCGTCGGTCTTCAAGTTGAAATCTTCAAATTCGTCGATCTTCAAGTTGAAATATTTAGGCCCTCCAAGTCTCAAAGTTGAAGTCTTCAAGTTCGTCGGTCTTCAAGTTTCAGTCTTCAAATTCGTCAGTCTTAAAATTGAATTGTTTAATCCCTCAGAATCTTCGAGTTGAAGTCTGTAAAGTCCGCCAAATCTTCAAAGTTTTCCAAGTGTTCATGTCGATGTCGTCTTCGAGTTGAAGCTTTACCTTAAGTTGGCCTCTCCGGTAGTCGGGCCATTTTGAGAGTAATCTCTCCGGTAATCGGGCCATTATGAGAGTAATCTCTCCGGTAGTCGAGGCCACATTGAGAGTAATCTCTCCGGTAGTCGGGCCATGAAAGTAATCTCTCCTACAGACGGGCAAGGATGAGTACTCATCTCCTCAAACCCTAAGACCGCCTTCTTCATGCGTGGATCATCTTGTTGAACAAGAGCATATCTTTCTCGCTTGACCTACAAAATAAGAAAAAAAGAACACAAAGGAAGAAAAGCACAAGAAAAGAAGAAGAAATTACCTTCGCATAAATACTTCCGAGTCCGCAAAGGTAGACTCAATACGGCTTACAAATACTACGAATTGATGCTCAATAAATACGAGCATGGGGTTTATATAGAGTTGGCAAAGCAGCTGTCGAAAGCATATTTTCGATGTGGGATTGTTGTCACAATTGTTCTCCTATACGGACTCGGTTGGCTAAGGGCGGCACGGCAGAAGTCTCCTATTTCAATTCGAGTTTGATGGAAGAAATTTGTCCTAAACAATATCTGATTCGGCGGACTTGAATCCCTTGGATAAAGCCGATGATGTTGCTGCATATTAAATGAAAGATGGTTGTGATTTGAATTACGTAATTCATGCAACGTCACATATTAACTGAATTGGAATTGTTTGAATTGTACCTGGGAGAGCTAACATATTTTGGAGTCTTTTAAAATTGGAAAATCATTACTTTGAGATTTACAATTCAATAGCTTTTATATATTGCGTGATTAGTCACAGAACAATGAATTTGAAATTTAAAGTTCAATGACTTTAACATTTCATGTGATCAAATGTACAAACACAAATACTTCAAGCCTAGTCTTCAAAAGTTTAAAGACTTTGACAAGTCTTGAAGTAGGGGGCATTTGTAGGCATATAAATTTTATTAAAATTAAATTTATAAAATAATTTGGACTATATTTTAAATTCAAGATATATTGGTCCAAATAAATATATGGGCTAATATAATTGAATTAATTATATAAGTCCAATATATATGGATTAAATAAATAAGTCTTAATCTATTGGGCTAGCCCATTTAATTGGGCTAAAGTGATGAGCCCACTTCATTAAGCCCAAGATGACATCTTCCTAGAGGCCCAGTTTGGTGCCACGTGTCAAATGACGTGGCGCGCCAAGTCAAGCGGAAGAGCCAATAGGATCATGTCACGTGTCAAAATGACAAGGCATGTCCAGTCACACTAAAAGGCCAATGAAATCGCGCCACGTGTGCAAGTGACATGTTCTAGCCAATCAAATGCAGTCATGTCACACTTCAATTTGATTGGTCGAAAAAAATTTGTTCTTATCACAACTCCTCCCTTCCACAACTATAAATAGGGGTCTTCATAACTCAGAAAAGACACCAGAAGTTATAACAAGAAGCAAGAGAGAGCTCGTGGATCAAACACCGCAAATTCCTCCACAAGTTTCAAGCTTCAAGCAATCAAGTTCAAGTTCAAGCTCAAGAACGAAGAACAAATCAAGTTCAAGCTCAAGAACGAAGAACAAATCAAGTTCAAGCTCAAGAACGAAGACCAAATCAAGTTCAAGTCCAAGCAATCAAGCTCAAGCTCAAGAACAAGATCATCATTCGTGGCAACAAACATAGATTCAAGATCAAGCTCAAAGGCCCTTGAATTTATTTACCATTGAAAAGAAGAATCAGAGGATTCATAGGGATTGTACACTCATATTATTCGAAAAAAAATACTACAATTGTTGCGATATTTTTCGGTCTTGATTTTATTTTCTCGACGCAAATTTATTGTCTACAAGATTGTCCACGAGTATATAATTTATTTTATGTGTCAAATTGTGTACCAAAATACTTTTATAAAAGGAGCTACAATGTCACAAAATTAATCGTCAAACTACGCCCTATTCCAACACCGCAATTCCAGATATTGTTTCTTTTACTAATATCAATATTTTTTGCTACTTCGTATTTTGCAAGCACGTTTGCATGCACCAGTTTTTATAGTTGCATCAACAATTTATCTTTATTGTTGCATTAAAAACTTTTTATTATATAATTTTTGTTTCATGTTTTGGACGTGGCTAATTTCACATCTCACGCAATTTACAAATTTAATACAGGTTATTGAACAATTGCAATTCATTCATCACAAAAAATCGGTTAGACATTCGATCTAAGTCTTATTACTTAAATTAGTATTGTTTTTTTCTTTGTTGTATGATTAAAAATACTTATTGTTATGCCAGCTCAAGTTGCTTGTTTTAAATAGAATTAAAAATTAGACAATATGCTTTAATTCTATGTAATATTATTGATTTGCGTTATTTGCAATTGCCATGCTTGAATCACTCAGATTTCAACAAGTACATCCGCTCAGGTAAAGAATCTTCCTTATATCATAAAAATAACCAATTATTGAATTAGTCACTTTTATAACTTATAAAACTCTTATGCTTTATTTTAGGTACACCTGCAATGGCCAGTGAAAAGGGATTGTGAGACCAATGTGTCCCAATAAATAGTCTAAGAGTATCTGATTTAAGTTAGGCAATACGAGTGTTAGTGTTTGGGAGTAGAATAGTAAAAGAGTTCAATAATAAAACAAATCAAGGCACCCGAAAAATTCTAACATTAGTTGACGAAAAGGTAATTATTATTTTATATCAATAATAATATAGATTATTTCATGTATTTTCATATTATAGTTTTAACCATCAGATTAACTTAAAGTGAAACTTTTTACACGGAACGAAAATTCACGCCACACTTTTTAATGGTTATATTGAGATGTGGAAAAATTATTTACAACAAAACAAGATCTGAAAAGCACGAAAGCTCTTAGTGAAATGTCGTTTGCCATTTTTACCCTTTAAAAATAAATACTCACATTGGACAAAAATTGTAAAAAGTTACTTTCCTAATATTTAGGATCTTGAAATAAATTAAAATTTTAGTTATTAAATATCTCTTTATTCAACAAGGTAGGAAGTCCTAATATTTAGAATTTTAAGCCAACAAAGATTTTATATATTACAAATCATTTCCTTGGAAAGTTGGTTGTCCAAATACGAGAAAAAGAAAAATATGATTGAGCCTGATTATAATAATTTATTGTAAAATTGAGGTTCGATGTGATTTATATTGCTGATCAAATCTCACTAATGAGTGATTCAATGTAATTCAACTAAAATATTGCATATTAAATTATTTCTTTATTTAAAACTACAATGAGCTAATATTAACAATTTGAATCAACAAAAAAATCATAATAATAGTATTTTTATTGTATGTAAATTCTAATTACGGTTGAATATGACAACTGTAATTATTCACAAAATATTACCGTATCCGTATGTAGGAAGTCATAATATTTAAAAATTTAAAATTAATATAATATAGATAATTAATATATTATTGTTTTCAATGATGACCACTTATCCGAAGGTTTTCTTTTCCTTTCCATAAATAGGCTTTCCCAACGACAATAGGGATTCTTACTTGTTTTTGCATGATTTGGAATTGAAGTGACAAATACATGATTTACTTCAAAATCTTGAATAATAATTTATTCAAAGTTTACATTATAGTTTTAACCTACAAATTGTAGCTTTATTTAGTTAATCAGACATCAATTTGAAAAGCACTAAGTTTCTTAGTTAAAACTTTGAAGTAATATCAGCTTGATAACTACAGAGTATAAAATAGCGACTCTTCAACAAAAGAAGGCTGAAACATCATTTGAGTTGATGCTTTCACTTTGATAAGTTGATTCCCTGACAGTTAATTTACCTATGCTAACACAAAGTAATTATCATAGTTGTCTTTTCAATTTCTATATAGCTCCCCAACCTGAACACCTAAATACATCATGTTAATATTGGTTGGAAATTCAATCCTCATATGCCCATAACTTTAGTTCTTGATATTTTTTTGTCAAACTATTCATACGTAATAAATATCTAAATGTTTGGATCCATCTCTTTAATATTTTTACTCTTAATTTTCGCCACCAGATCTCCGAGAAATATCCTTTTGTACCCTCGACTATAAATTATTATAGATGTCAGGATTCAATACCACAAAATAATGTCTCTAACAGTAGATAATTGCAAGAACAATATTAAACACAAAGATACATTATAATTGGGAAAAAGTTTACCATTAGAAAAAGTTACACATTTTTTATATCTTCTCGACACCAATGAAATCTACATAGTTTCTCTTCTTTTTTCTCCACCTTTCCCAAGGTGAACCCATTTTTCCATTAAAGCAATACAAATTTCAAAAGAATGATATCTCAGATTTTTCCAACAATTACAATTTGAAACAAAAAAACAAAAACTTAAACCTCCATGAAATTGCTGCAAAAAATGCTAATGATATAGGAGAGTAAAACGATATTTATCACTTCGATATATAACTAACTTTAAGATCTACCAGAAATTAAACAAGAATCATCATTAGAGCTGACTACAAGCACGTTATGTTGCAAGAACTTGACAACCACGACTTTAACACCAAACATAAAACAAAAAGACTTTAACGGAGAATTTTCTTTACCATGAATAATCAAAACCTTGGACAACAGAAAGGAGGTTATATTATGTGCTAGAGTCAAATGGCACAAAAAACAAAGAATTAAGCTAAATTACCTTCAAAGTATGTCTTCATAAGTTATGCTAGCATATTTTAGGTGGGCCTTTGTCTTTTCAGATTTTCAAGAATAGCTCTATCAACCTGGGCAAAAAACAAAACAAGTAATCACCCATATTAGACTCAAAAAAAATCTAAAATCCACAACACGATGATCGCAGGTTTTTGTTTATTACTCCTTAATAAGTAGATTTATCTTTGATACAGAAGACATAAAATATAAGATGAGACTATGTGGACACAGAACAGAAGTATGTATAAAATCTATGAGAATCAAGATGGATCTTGTATACACCTTTTTTTCGTTTGTGCAATATAAGCGTAGAAACTTGAGTTAAATTAAAGGAAAAATCCAAAACTTACCCAATCATGGCAGGTAACAAGAAGATGGTCAGGTCCGGTAGTTCTGTTTCAACAATTATGTCTTTGAAAGAAATGGACTTCTCTCTATCTGAAAGCCATTTAACCAGAAAACTTTAACACTACAATCACGGCAAAACCGTGCATCTTTCTAATGGAATACACCATCAAAAGAGGAAAGCAGCAGAGGTTACGGTACACAAAAAGATTTCTCTTATTGATAGCAACAAAAAGACCTGTCGATTTAAAAGACCAGAAACCCCCAATTCACAATATTACAAGTTGCCCCTTTTAGATAACTATTTATATTTAAGTGTCACTTAATCTAATTAATAGTAGTACCTACGGTACAGCTTAATTCCAGTAGTAAAGATAGTATGATACTCCCTACCTAAACCAATTTCTTTGGAACAAACGCATAACATATATCACAAAGTAAAACAAATTGGGGAAAACTATCAAGGGACTAAAAAAGAGAGGAAAATAAAACTCACCCGGTAATTGTAGCAGCATCAAACCAAAATCAAACACGGTTCATCAAACAGCTCCAAGAAATGTATAATATCGAAAGTACCCTTGGTCGTCCAAGGGTCTTACGCTTATTATGTAGTTAAATATATATAAAATTATACTATTAGTTATTCAATTAAGTGATATAACAAAAGAAAAAATTATATTAATTAATTATATTTCAGTGATAAACTGAATGTGCTAAAACATGACCTGCATCTACAACAAAACTAGTATAGTCCCACTAGGGAGTGTACGTCTTGCGCAGGTTGAGAAGCTATTTTCAATATACCCTGCTCAAGCAATGTACAATCATAGCAGTCTTAACAAGAAATACAGTCGTGAAAAACCCATGAAAGAGAAGCAGTATCAACAACAAGATAATAAGATAACATAAGCAAAAAGAAACAACATGTAATAATAGAAATCTAAGAGTAAGAAAGTATGACAATAATACTCTAATCTATTGGTATGGCAAAGAGAAACGTTCGACTACCTACTAGCGTTCTACCTTAATCCTCGTCATTTACACCTTCCTATCAAGGGTCATATCCTCGCTAAACTGGAGTAGTATCATATTCTGCCTGATCAACTCTCCTCAATACTTCTTGGGCATGCCTTTATCTCTCCTTGAACCCACCAAGGCTAACCTGTCACACCTCTTTACTAAGTCATACTTGATTCTCTGCCTAATTTTATCTCTCCTAGTATGCCCACACATGACATGCATCTATTCATTTAATATAAATCGTATTTGTCTTAATCCTCATTCGTTCTTCTTTTTCTACTAGGTGGGGGCCAACATTATTTAATACTGTATGATTTTTAATTGTAGATCTAATAATTGATGGTAAGTGTGGAATCAAATAGACAATATTGCATGTTAATTGATATATACCTATTTACATACATTTTGATCAATATATATATTGTTTACAACCATGAGAGCATCACATTAGGGATGCTCATGTATGAAATAACTATTTACATATTAGCTGAAGGTGGGGCGTTGTGTATGCGATGTTTGGACTTCTTTCTGGTCTTCTTTTTAGTAGTTCTTGACCAAAAAAATCTGCAAATAAATAAAAATATTATATTTCATAGTCAAATTAGAAGCTAACATATCTTCAAGGCAAATTTTGTGTTCACCTTTAATCTGTTATAAAAAAAGAACCTATAGCAACTAAGGGCAAATATAACCAAAAAAAAAAAAAAAAAACTTAGCCAAGAAGATTATGGTGAGTTGGTAATTAAGCTAAGCATGTACTAATATACACAGGAAGACAAATGAAAGCAAAAAAATATGTGGACTAATTCTTTGTTTGCTTCATTAGCATGCAAAATATTAATGATTGTAACATCTTCACAAATTGTTTTATTATATTAAGAAGGAAATTATCTGCAAAACCCCATATTATTGTTCACAAAATTCTAAAGCAGTCGTATCAAAATCTCAGGTTTCAGCTATATCTACTTCTTTAGGTTGATTCTCTAATCTTTTCTCTTAAAATTGATTATATCGTGGGATGAATCACACCATACATTACAGTCTCAAAATACTATCAAATAGGAAACCTGCAATTGTAAAGTACAACATTTTTCATGAAAAGTTCAAAAGAAAAAAGCAAGCAAACAGAGGATTAAAATGATGAGCAAGACATTTCAGCAAATAACTTTTGCTCAAAGGCAACAATAACATTGGCAGTTGCTTAAAGTGTAGTTGGAATCTTTAAAATGTTGAAATATTTGAAGTATAAGCTCAAACTGAACACTATACTTACAAGTTCCTGGTAACTATGCACACAGAGAGTATAAGAGGCTTTCTAGAACAAAGTTATGTGCTAATTATGTATTTTCATCAAGTAAATTTGTCCTAAAAGCTCACTCCAGCACGAATATGTGGCAGCTTTTCCCTGCCCCTAGTTACGACTACGTCTTTCTTGTTCATCTTCGTATATTAATTTTTTCTGTGATCCAACTAATCCCTAATAGTTAAAACAACATGATATCCTATAATCTATCTCAGGTATCTTAGTTTTCATCAAAAGAGTACGTTTATAAAGCGATAGATTCAACTATTATCGATTAAGGAGAATGAAAATTCCTGCCAACTATAGCAATAACTGCTGGAAATCCAGTAGCACTTGCAACTTGACTATGCATTAGCAGATTTACCTAGTGCGAAGGGAGAAATGACTATATCTTGTAATAGCAAATTATAAAAGAGTGATGACGTCATAACCAACAGAAAAGGTCATTTCCCTTCCCTTCAAATTTTAGGAACTAAAAGACCCACTAATATGCAAAAACACAATAATAGGAGAATCCACATAAAACTGTAAGCAGATACTACCCCATATTACATTTGTTTTTTCTTTACAAATTGCAGCATGGTATCCTACGACATAAATTTTGATAGGATAGGTAATTCAAGATAAAACTGGACTAACATAAGAGGTTTTAAACTTTTATTTCAGTGTGGTCAAACTTGTTTTTATTAGGGGACATAGCTAGTTTAAGAACACTGAAAGTTTATGTATAACAAAATCAGGCTACATATGAACTTGGTCAAGTTTTATATTTATTATATAAGGTACATAATTACCTTTAAAATATTGTTTGTTATTTTAGCAGCAAAGTGTGAACGTTCAAATAATTATTGCAAAACTGATTGCATGCTAATAAAAATAATGTTGTTCATGATACTGTAACGACCCGGCCGGTCGTTTTATGAATTTCAGCCCCGTTTTCTCCATTTCTGCTTCTTTATATCTTGTTCAACTGTGTTATGTGGTATCGGGTTGGTTGGTTCAAATTCGAAATAATTTTGGAAAGGTCTGAGACACTTAGTCTCTAAAGTTGGTCTTTTAGTTGGAAAAGTCAACCGGAAATTGACTTGTGAGCAAACGATCTCGGAATTTTGGTTTTTATGATTCGGATAGCTTTGGGAGGTGATTTGGGAGTTAGGAGCGTGATCGGAATGTCATTTGGAGGTCCGTGGTAGATTTAGGCTTGAATTGGCGAAATTGGAATTTTGGCGTTTTCCGGTCGATAGTGGAAATTTCGATATCGGAGTCGGAATGGAATTTCAGAAGTTGCAGTAGGTCTGTTGTATCATATGTGATGTGTGCGCAAAATTTCAGGTCATTCGAACGAGGTTTGATAGACTTTTTGATCGAAATCGGAATTCGGAAGTTCTTGGAGTTCTTAGGCTTGAATCCGTGGTTGATTTAATGTTTTGATATTGTTTTAAGTGTTCCGAAGGTTGGAACAAGTTTGAATGATGTTATGGGATGTGTTGGCATGGTTGGTTGAGGTCCCGGGGGCCTCGGGTGAGTTTCGGGTGGTTAAACGGATCAAATTCATGTTTGAAAAGTTGCAGATTTTCTTCAGTTCTGTTGCAGGCATTTTTGTTCTTCGCGACCGCGTAGAATGGTCCGCGATCGCGTAGGCTTAGTCGAGCAGGGGTGAGATTTGTTCTATGCGATCGCATATGTAAGGGCGCGAACGCGTTTGGCTGGAAAGTTGTTGTTCGCGAACGCAGGGCCAGGGCCGCGTTCGTGTAGAAGGAAAGGAGCTGGTGAGGAGTAGGCAGGTTGTTCTATGCGATCGCGTGGGGGAGGCCGCGATCGTGTGAGTTTGTGAAGCCAGTGCTTCGCGATCGCGTGGAGGTGTTCGCGATCGCAGCGCTATTTCCGCGATCGCGGTGAAAGAATTTTAAATTGCTGGGAGAATGTTTAAAAAGCCATTTTCGCGATTTTTGGCCGTAGTTCACCATTTTTGAGTCGGTTTTGGAGCTTCTTGGGGGAGATTGAAGAGGGAATTCAAGAGAACCTTTTTGAGGTAAGATTATTGAACCTAAAACTCGATCCTATGTTGATTCTTACTGGTTTAAACATGAAATTTGTGGAATCTAAAGCCTAAAATTGGGGAGTTAGGGCTTGAAATTGGAGATTTTGATTTGAGGATTTGAGGGGTCGTTTGTGGTCGGATTTTGATGTATTTGATATGTATGAACTCATGAGAGTGTAAGAATTCTAGTTTTGTGATTCTTATCGGAATCCGAAACGTGGGCCCGGGGTCAGGTTTGGTCAATTTCGGGATTTTTGGTGTAAATTGGTTATTTGCGAGTGCGTTTTGTTCCTTTAGCCTATTTTGATGTAATGATTTCGATTTTGGATAGATTCGACGCGTGTTGAGGCCGATTCGAGAGGCAAGGGCGTCGCGGGCTAGAGTTTGGCTTGGATTGAGGTAAGTAACACTTCCAAACTTGGTTCTGAGGGTTCGAAACCCCGAACTATGTGTTCTATGATTACTATTAAGGTGAGCAAATGCCAAGTGACGGGCGTGTGGCGTGCACCGTGGGAATTGCGGCCTGGATTATTCCATGGCCCCGCTTAGTGACTCTTTCTTGCTGATATTTGTGTCGCACTTATGTGATTAAGTTGATGAGCTGTAAATCATGCTAATTATCATGTTAAGGCTTCACGCCAATACTGTTGAGACCGTAGGGGTCGATTCTTGCTGTCATGTTACTTGCTTTATTGATATTTTATACTCAGTCCTGTTCATGCATATTATATCATGCTTCAGTCTCGATTATTGTTTTTTGACATATCATATCATTGTCCGGGCTAGTATCATGACATTCTGCGCCCGTGTGAGTGAGACTGGAGAGTGATGACCGAGTATGGCCAAGAGCCTGATTGTGAGTGACAGTATATGGGATCGGGCTACACGCCGCAGCGGTTATGTTGATGATTATGATAGCGCTTGAGCTGTAGGAGCCCCTCCGGAGTCTGTAACACACCCCCAGTGAGCGCAGTTGATGATATTGAGGGATGGATCTTCCCTGGACATGGATCTTGTCCGAAGTATTTATACTTGGAGATGGATCTTCTCCATGGGGCTGGAATGGCCTTCCTCGGAACTGTTCCGGGATGGATCTTCCCTAGGCTTGATGGTCATATACAGTACCGAGTGGTTGAGCGCTTGTGAGTGGAGGTACACGGAACATTGATCATGTTATATGTGCTTTGGTACATAGAGATTTCCTGAGCATTATACTCCGTACTGTTTAGACTGCATTTATTTACTGTTGAGATATTACTTGAATCTGCAAGCATGTCTACTTTTCTGTACAATTTAATTTATATTACCTGCTGAGGCTTGGTTCGTCACTACCTGTCAGTCCATAGTTTGGACTTGTTACTTACGGAGTTGGTGTACTCACGTTACCCCTACACCCCTGTGTGCAGATCGAGGTATCTCGGGGCACGGTAGCGGTTGCTGATCATTTTATTTGCGGACTTCCTATGAGATAGCGAGGTAGCTGCTGGGCGATCGCAGCCCCGCCTTCTCCTTCCTTATCTTCCTTTCATTGTGTTGTTGCCTATTCTCAGACTATGTTAGTCTTGCCTTATTTCGAACCATTGTAGTATTTTGCTCATGACTAGTGACACCCGAGGTCGGGCATGTATTTTTCGCTTTATTTTGATCTTTACTTTATGTCTTCTATTGGAACTCTGTTAAAATATGGTTTTACTTAAGTTTTAAATGAAATCTGGAGTGTTTGGGAATTTAGTTGGCTGGCTTAGTTTCACGATAGGCGCCATCACGACCGGGTCGATTTTAGGGTCGTGACAAGTTGGTATCAAAGCCTAGGTTACATAGGTCTCACGGGTCATGAGCAGGTTTAGTAGAGTCTCGCGGATCGGTACGGAGACGTCTGTACTTATCTTCGGAAGGCTGCAGAACCTTTAGGAAATAAACTTCACATTCTTGAATTCCTATCGTGCGACATTGATTCAGCTTGAAGCTTAACTCCTTGAATTCCTTCCACGCATTTGTGTGCGCGCATGAGCGCTCGGTATCAGCTGTGCATCGACGGCTTATGATTCCCTGATCGAAGGGCGAGATGTGTTCATATGAATTGAATGTGACGAGAAAGGTCTGCTTGAGGATAGAAGGAACTATTAGGTGCTTGATTTCCATCTTGATTTGATATATAGCCCCGAGTTATGAGTGCATGAAGGATCTTTTCATGTTGTCTAGTTGGGGAATCGAGTAGATTTCATGTTACGATATGAGTTCAGACTCAGAAAGACTTGGTGATTGCGTGATGTTTATAGCGGTGGAAGGGTATAAAGAGAAGTTAGTTTGAGACGGAGCATGTGGGTTATCTCCTGCGGAGTATTCTGAAGTGGTGTGAACCCTATGTTGTTTGTTGAAGGTCCTCTTTTACAGTGAAATATATGTGCGACAGTTTGAGTTTGGATCGCGCGCGGGAGTTGTCTTGACTGTTACGAGGGTGAATGCGAGAATTGCAGATGATTTCAAACACTAGATGGTTTGTGTTGCATGAATTTATGAAGGATTTAGTTGAATCTCACTATGGTATTATGGCAGAAATAGAGTATGGGCATTGTGAGTTTTTGGGTGTTTTGGTCTATGGTCCTTGCCGAAGGAGAGGGAGCTCCACGACCAATTGATCTGAGGAATGGTTATGATTTTCTGCGTGTTTCATTCATCGTTGGCAGTACGAAAGTGTTGGAATGAGACCTTATTTGATAAGAGGTTTATTATCGATATTCGGTTGTTTTGAGCAGTTGTTGTGATTTGGAGTCTTTGCTATGAGTGTTCGAGTTGTATGGTATATCCTGTGGTTTCCATCTTGAGTTGTGGTTATGGCTTGCTACAGCGTGTTCAGATTTATTCGGTGCGCGGATGTGAGATTCTGATCATATAGATAAATTTTGAAAGTGGAAATTTGGTTCTAAGGTTTATGGACTAGGTTGGATTGTGAAATTTCAGTTACGTTGTGCTATCGGACCTATATGAGATAGGGTGATGTGGGATCACCCCCGGGTATGTGCAGGGTAAGGTTATACAGCACTTTAATGGTTTTCGGAACAACTCTGGGCACGTTCAAGGACGAACGTATGTTTAAGTGGGGGAGGATGTAACGACCCGGCCGGTCGTTTTATGAATTTCAGCCTCGTTTTTCCCATTTCTGCTTCTTTATGTATTGTTCAGTTGTATTATGTGGTATCGGGTTGGTTGGTTCGAATTCGGAATGGTTTTGGAAAGGTCTGAGACACTTAGTCTCTTAAGTTGGTCTTTTAGTTGGAAAAGTCAACCGGAAGTTGACTTGAAACGATCTCGAAATTTGGTTTTTATGATTCTGATAGCTTGGGGAGGTGATTTGGGACTTAGGAGCATGATCGGAATGTGATTTGGAGGTCCGTGGTAGATTTAGGCTTGAATTGGTGAAATTGGAATTTTGGCGTTTTCCGGTCGATAGTGGAAATTTCGATATCGGGGTCGGAATGAAATTTGGGAAGTTGCAGTAGGTCCGGTGTGTCATATGTGATGTGTGTGCAAAATTTCAGGTCATTCGGACGAGTTTTGATAGACTTTTTGATTGAAATCAAAATTCGGAAGTTGTTGGAGTTCTTAGGCTTGAATCCGTGGTTGATTTGATGTTTTGATGTTGTTTTGAGTGTTCCGAAGGTTGGAACAAGTTTGAATGATGTTATGGGATGTGTTGGCATGGTTGGTTGAGGTCCCGGGGGCCTCGGGTGAGTTTCGGGTGGTTAAACGGATCAAACATGTTTGAAAAGTTGCAGATTTTCTTCAGTTCTGTTGCAGCATTTTTGTTCTTCGCGACCGCGTAGAATGGTCTGCGATCGCGTAGGCTTAGTCGAGCAGGGGTGATATTTGTTCTACGCGATCGCATATGTAAGGGCGCGATCACGTTTGGATGGAAAGTTGTTGTTCGCGAACGCGGGGTCAGGGTCGCGTTCGCGTAGAAGGAAAGGAGTTGGTGAGGGGTAGGCAGGTTATTCTTTGCGATCGCGTGGGAGAGGCCACGATCGCGTGAGTTTGTGAAGCCAGTGCTTCGCGATCGCGTGGAGGTGTTCGCGATCGCATAGGGTTAAATGGGGCCAGTCATCATTTGTGCTTCGCGATCGCAGCGCTATTTCCGCGATTTTAAATCGCTTGGCAGAATGTTTAAAAAGCCATTTTCGCAATTTTTGGCCATAGTTCACCATTTTTGAGTTGGTTTTGGAGCTTCTTGGGGGAGATTGAAGAGGGAATTCAAGAGAACTTCTTTGAGGTAAGATTATTGAACCTAAAACTCGATCCTATGTTGATTCTTACTGGTTTAAACATGAAATTTGTGGAATCTAAAGCCTAAAATTGGGGAGTTAGGGCTTGAAATTGGAGACTTTGATTTGAGGATTTGAGGGGTCGTTTGTGGTCGGGTTTTGATGTATTTGATACGTATGAACTCGTGAGAGTGTAAGGATTCTAGTTTTGTAATTTTTATCGGAATCCGAGACGTGGGCCCAGGGGTCGGGTTTGGTCAATTTCGGGATTTTTGGTGTAAATTGGTTATTTGCGAGTGGGTTTTGTTCCTTTAGCCTATTTTGATGTTATGATTTCAATTTTGGATAGATTCGACGCATGTTTTGGCCGATTCGAGAGGCAAGGGCGTCGCGGGCTAGAGTTTGGCTTGGATTGAGGTAAGTAACGCTTCCAAACTTGGTTCTGAGAGTTCGAAACCCCAAACTATGTGTTCTATGATTACTATTAAGGTGACGCAAATGCCAAGTGACGGGCGTGTGGCGTGCACCGTGGGATTGCGGCCTGGATCATTCCATGGCCCCGTTTAGTGACTCTTTCTTGCTGATATTTGTGTCGCACTTATGTGATTAAGTTGATGAGCTGTAAATCATGGTAATTATCATGTTAAGGCTTCACGCCAATACTGTTGAGACCCTAGGGGTCGATTCTTGCTGTCATGTTACTTGCTTTATTGATATTTTATACTCAGTCGTTTTCATGCATATTATATCATGCCTCAGTCTCGATTATTGTTACTTGACATATCATATCATTGTTCGGGCTAGTATCATGACATTTTGCGCCCGTGTGAGTGAGACTAGAGAGTGATGACTGAGTAAGGCCGAGCCTGATTGTGAGTGGCAGTATATGGGATCGGGCTGCACGCCGCAACGGTTATGTTGATGATTATGATAGCGTTTGGGCTGTAGGAGCCGCTCCGGAGTCTGTAACACACCCCCAGTGAGCGCAGTTGATGATATTGAGGGATGGATCTTCCCTGGACATGGATCTTGTCCGAAATATTTATACCTGGAGATGGATCTTCTCCATGGGGATAGAATGGCCTTCCTCGGTACTGGATAACTGAGGTCAGTGATATATATATATATATATATATTCCGGGATGGATCTTCCCTGGGCCTGATGGCCATATACAGTACCGAGTGGTTGAGCACTTGTGAGTGGAGGTACACGGAACATTGATCATGTTATATGTGCTTTTGTACATAGAGATTTCCTGAGCATTATACTCCGTACTGTTTAGACTGCATTAATTTACTGTTGAGTTATTACTTGAATCTACAAGCATGCCTACTTTTCTGTACAGTTTAATTTATATTCCCTGTTGAGGTGTGGTTCGTCACTACTTGTCAGTCCATAGTTTGGACATGATACTTACTGAGTTGGTGTACTCACATTACCCCTGCACCCCTGTGTGCAGATCCAGGTATCTCGGGACATGGTAGCGGTTGCTGATCATTTTATTTGCGGACTTCCTTGAAGATAGCGAGGTAGCTGCTGGGCGATCGCAGTCCCGCCTTCTCCTTCCTTATCTTCCTTTCATTGTGTTGTTGGCTATTGTCAGACTATGTTAGTCTTGTCTTATTTCGAACCATTATAGTATTCATGATTAGTGACACCCGAGGTCGGGCATGTATTTTCCGCTTTATTTTGATCTTTACTTTATGTCTTCTATTGGAACTCTGTTAAAATATGGTTTTACTTAAGTTTTAAATGAAATCTGGAGTGTTTGGGAATTTAGTTGGCTGGCCTAGTTTCACGACAGGCCTCATCACGTCCGGGTCGGTTTTGGGTCGTGATAGATACAACTCCAAATACCACCAATTTTATGATAGACTCATCCATCTAGCAGCAAATTCCCAGAACAGCAAAAAAGTTTTCCTTAGAATAAGATAAATAATATATAAGAAACAGATATATGAGATTCCCGTTAAGAAAAGAAAGCAGGCCAGTAGTATTAGTAACTCAATTCAAGAGTTTCACTAACATTAGCATAAAATCTTAGAGCAACATACTTAATAGTAGAAAACATGCTTAAGCTTTACATAATTAACCTTCAATCAACAAATATTAATAGCTTTAAAGGTAAGATGGCAAGCCATAACAGAGCTAAAAGTGTTAAAGTTCAACTGCAACAAAGAGAGAAACCTAAAGGTCAAAAAGGGCATAAAAGTTCTCACTCTTGTCAAAACTAATGATATCATTACTAAGAATTGCATTTCAGAACCTCGTCTTTTTGTTTTTCTTCTACTAATAAGCCAAAAAATTATTTTCTAGCGAATGGTATCAAAAGCTTTAAAGTAAGAAGTTGGTCAGAAAGTTTACCTTTTGATTGGAAGGCTACTGAATAACACGAAAACACAACAACCACAATAGATCGCAAGAACTACAATAACAAAGAAAATAAATCGGGGGAGATATAGTATCAGTAATAGATAACTCCAACCAAAATAGAAGATAAAGATGAAAAGTTAGTGCATTCTAAGAGTTAGAAGGAGTCGTGCATGTGATGATCAAATAATAACCAGTTTGATCACAATGTCTCTACCACTTACGGAAGATAAGGCACCTCGCAAATAATTTTAGAAGTAAAAACTTTAAATTAAGAACTCGTGACAAAATACAGTTTTGCGACTTTATCATTATAATAAGTAAAATTCAGTGACCATACATGATATTAATCCGCTCTTGTTCGTATTAAGTTGAATTTGTTGGAATTTTGTAAAGTCGTTATTAAATTTTGAGGTGTGGAAACTCTACACAACAAATCAAGTTACTGAAGCATTAGAACCTCTGTTGAAAGGTGATTTTCCAGCAGAAGAGGAATCAAAAGTCCTAAAAGTGGGGTTATTATGCATAAGCTTCTGGCGCTTTAAGACCATCACTCACAGAAGTTGTCCAAATGTTAACATGTGAAGATTATCAAATTCCAGAACCATGCCAACCATCTTTCTTAAATTCAAGTTTATTAGCTGGCCCCTCTCTCAAATCCAGCATAAGAAGTTTAGTCTCAAGGCGAACAACTGAGAAAACCAAAAAAATCCAAAACTGAGCGTGCGTCGAGTTTAAAAATATATTTTTATTGCTCGATTTAACACATACCAACTATCGAGGTGAAAAATTAAAGTTCATTAACAGAGTCCAAAAGAAGAAATTGCAAAAGTAAGAACCATGCAAAGAACCGAGAAAACCAAAAAAAAATCCAAAACTCAGCACGCTTCGAATTTAAAAGTGCATTGTTATCGCTCCATTTTAACACACAACCATGGAGTTGCAAAATTAAAATTCATGAACAGAATCCAAAAAAAAGAAAGGGCAAAAATTAGAAGAAGGGGAAAAGGATGAGGAAAATCAGCCATGACATTGCAAAATTTAGAAGGTATGGAGAATCTAGAAAAAGCACGGAAGGAAATTAAGTTGTAGAAAAGAAGTATGAACAGAATTCATGAAATTTGAGTAAGCACTGTAACACTATACCCAAAATTTTCTTCCTTTTAAATTAGGCTTAGTACCCATACCATTATCATCAGCGAACTGAGATCGAGAAGCCATTGATCTCAACCAAAAATATTTGCATGTGGGGTGAAACTAATTGAAAAAGCAAAAGAAAGAGAAACAAGTACAAAACTACAAAATTGAAGTTGAAGACCAAGAGATTATTTTCTATATCAGATGCACGGCAAGAATCATAAGGCAAAATTGATTAAAATCGTACCTGCAGGTAGAAGGAATTTAAGGAAGGCGAAGAGAATTGGAGCAGCTATCCAAATTTTGAAAGTTTAATTGGATGAAAACCTAATACGCTGCGTAGAACATACGTGGACTCATTTAAAACTTACACCTAGTGGGAAAAATAAGGCAGTAGTATGTTTTATCTGTAAGAATTGATGTGAAATGACTTAACTGCCCTCGAGCTTTTATAAAAAAGACTTTAAGCATACAGGACGAAACCACCGGCTTTTCTCATGTATATATATAGTAAAGTAAAGTAAAGTAAAGAGGAATTTTAGGGTATTCTTTTTGGTATTCGATACTATGAATTTAACAAAGCTTTATACTGGCAAATCAAACATTAACAAGGTATGAGATATTAGTTAGCAAGAACTTTCTCAAATATTTGAAAATTAGAAATCTCCTTTTTTTTTTACTTTAAATCTCCTTTCTTACGGGGAACTTTGGGTACGCAAGTCTAGGAAAGCCGCTTTTCACCCTCCAAACGACCAAACCTAACCCCTTGAATTGATCACGAGTTAACATTCTTTAATCTCAATTCCACCACGTAAACTATTGCTTAGACTTTCCGGTAGAACTTTCAAAACGGGCCAGTCCAAGTTTCGTGAGCTTTTAAATTTGACGGGCTAGGAAGGGCCGACTACGAATGGGCCTTAAAATGGCCAGCCCAACCCAGCCCTAAAAAGGCTACGGGTGTGACGACCCAAAGGGTCATCACCGAATTTCTCTCTTTTCCGTGCTTCCGAGGCCTTGAAAACCTCGCTTTTAGTTGCCTCGATTTACGTGCGCAGTCCGGACGCCAAGCCGAAAAGCTTTTATGTTGAAATATGTGAACTTTGTGAAAAATTTGAAGAATTTTGATATTAATATTGCTAAAGTTGACTTTGGTCAACATTTTTGGTAAACGGACCCGGACCCGTGATTAGGCGGTCCCGGAGAGTCCGTAGAAAAATATGAGACTCGGGCATATGCCCGGAGTCGAATTTCGAGGTCGAGAGCCCGAGAAATGAATTTTTCTCTGAAATTGTTTTTCTGAAATTATTAAGGAAAATGGAAATGAAAATTGATTAAAAGACTATGGTATCGGGCTCGTATTTTGGTTCCGACGCCCGGTACAAGTCTTAAATATGTGTTAAGCGCTTTCTGTAAAGTTTGGTCGAAATCGGATGTCATTTGACGTGTTTCGGACCTAAATATCTAAAATTTGAAGTTATGAAGTTTGAAATGAAAATGATGATCTTGAGGCTTGATTCAATGATTTTTTTTAATGTTATTTTGGTGATTTGATCGCTCGAATAAGTTCGTAGGATGTTATTGAGTTAGTGTGTGTGATTGGTTAGGAGCCCCGAGGGCTCGGGAGTGAATTGGAGGTGGTTCGGGGTGTTTTTACACTTAGGAAATGTAGCAGGTTTTTGGTTTCAGCTGTTGCAGGTGTTTTCTTCTTCGCGTTCGCGTGGTCTCTTCCGCGTTCGCGTAGCTTTAGCCTTCTACTTCATCGCGTTCGCATCTCTCGCCTCGCGTTCGCGTAGAGTCATCTAACCCTGAGGGCTTAGCCCTTTTTCTTCTTCGCGTTCGCGGACACTTGACCGCGTCCGCGTAGCTTGCCACGACTCCCTTCAGCGCGTTCGCGTTTCCCTATCGCGTTCGCGTAATAACAGTTCCTGGACCCTATTTCCTTCTACGCGTTCGCGTCTGTCTCCACGCGATCGCGATAGCTTACCCAGTTTACCCTTCGCGAACGCGGCCCTCTCCCGCGAACGCGATGGGCAATTTTGCCCAGCGAATTTTTAAGTCAAAAACATAACAGTAGCTCGGGAATTCTTCATTTCTTCTCACGAGCTCTCTTCTCTATCAAGCCTTAGGACTCCATTGAAGCTCCCCTCTTCCAAGACTTTTTCGGTAAGTAATTCCCCACCTAATTCCTTCATTTTTTCTTCATTAATCACTAATTTCCTAGCCCTAAATCATGAATTCAAAGTAGAAATTAGGGATTTTGGGTAGAGTTAGGGCTTTGGGGATTTTGGGTGATTCAACCTCAATTTGGGGTCGAATCTTGAAATAAATTTTATATTTGAACTCGTGGGGTTATGGGTGATTGGGTTTTGGGCCGAGCCTCGTATTTGGACCATGTGAGACCGGTGTCGAATTTTGGTGTTTTTGGAAGAATGATAGGAATTTCATTTCTAGGCTATGGGATTATGTTTTTGAGTCCTTATTGATATTATTGAACTAATTATGCCTAGATATCATTGTTTCGGAGTTGGATTGTAGAGAAAGGCGGTATTAGAGAGTTGATGCCATTCTTGGACCGAGGTTAAGTGTTTGTTCTAACTTTGGCTTGAGGGAATATGATTAGGATGTTATTTGCTACTTGCTAAATGTGGAGTACGGTGTATAGGCATGGTGACGAGTATCTATACATCGGCGTCTAGCATGACCGTGAGTCTTAATTGCTTTTAATTCGAATGATGTGACACCACTACCTTGTTAATTGATAAATTTCATATAATGTGAACGGTTGAGGAAGAATTGTGATTGGTATATTTTGGAGCGTTGGCTCGAACAAGAATGTGATAGTTGAGAAAGAAGTGATTTAAAAGAGGATGTGTTGTGATTATTCCCTTGCCGGGACGTGTAGACTATTATTATGTACTCTCCCTTGCCGGGATATTTGGGCTGTTAGCTGTACCCTTGCCGGGTTAAAGTGTTATGTTGTCGAATTCCCCTAATGGGGCCTTCTTTACAAAGTCAGATATTTTGAATTATAATATGGGATCGTGTGTCACGCCGACCACTTATATATTATGAAATGGGATCGTACGTCACGCTGACCACTTATATATTATGAAATGGGATCGTGTGGCATGCCGACCACTTATATATTTTGAAATGGGATCGTGTGGCACGCCGACCACTTATATATTATGAAATGGGATCGTGTGGCACGCCGTCCACTTTTATATTATGAAATGGGATTGTGTGGCACGCCGTCCACTTATGAATTAAGAGATGGGATCGTGTGGCGCGCCGACCACTTATATATATGAGCTATGGTATTGAGATAGTTTCGTCGTTATATCCGTTGATCTGTATTCGCTGTATTTTCCCCGAGCATGCCCCCTTCCCCTTTTTAGTTGATATTCTCTGTTGTTATTTCTGTTGCCTTTGTATATATATATCTGCACAGGTTGTTTTTGGTAGGTCCTGTCTAGCCTCGTCACTACCTCGCCGGGGTTAAGCCAGGCACTTACCAGCACATGGGGCCGGTTGTGCTGATGCTACACTTCTGTGCTTTTTGCACAGATCATAGTACCGGAGCAGGAGCTTTTGGACAACAGTAGGAGCGTTGGGAGCTTACTTCAGTCCAGAGATTTCCGAGGTAACTTGCTGGCATCCGCATGGCCCGGAGTCTCTCTTATCTCTGCCTTTCGTTTGATTTCCCTTGTATCGGATCAGACAGTACTGTATTCTTATTCAGACCTTGTATTTAGCATTCAGTAGAAGTTCGTGAGTTAGTGACACCAGATCTGGGTAGAGGTGTATTTGAATATCCGCACTTGGTTTCAGTTATTTATATTTTTGGGACTTCCGCTTTTATATTAATTGCCTCGTTTTTTCTTTATACTGTTAATGATGTTGAGAGAAATGTTAAATTAATTGGCTTGCCTAGCTCCTATTAGTAGGCGCCATCACGACTCCCGAGGGTGGGAAATCCGGGTCGTGACAACGGGCTAGGGCGGGCCGGCCCTTCAATTTTTTTAAAAATAAAATTTCTTTAAATCCTTAAATATTTTTTCGTGACATAGTCGATTAATCATGTAAACAACTTCTATTTGCTTAGAGTGTACAAAAATATTGATATTTGCGAGGAATCTCGTAATTAAAATGCAAATTCTCTATATCTCTTGCTCTTCTTTTTTAAAGTTATATGAATATTTTTTTAATACCTTTCTTTCATTTTTCTTAGATTCAGGGGATTATTTTAGCAAGCTTATATGCTGAGGTTTTTTAATGTAGGATTAACATCATTTGTTTATTTCATCATTATAGTTCATAAAATTTTTATAATTCTTGAAATTTGCTAGTGCTCAATTTTTTTTTTGTGTGTATTTAAAACTGATCTTTATCTATGCTGAAGAGTAGTTTAAATAGTAATAATAAATTAAAGTAATCCACACTGATCATTGGCCACTTAAAGTAATATTTTGTTTTGAGAAAAGATTTTATTTGCTACCTAAGACTTTTCGAGTTCGTTATTAATTAAGCAAAAGAAAAACTAATTTTGTCATGTTACAAGCATGTCAAAAATCTAAATTCTAGTTGATATGGAAAGGTATATGAGCAATTTAGGGTTGGGGAATGATGATTATAGTTAATAGTTTTTTTACTTTTTATTATTTTTTAAATATTAAATATTTAATAGTAATTAATTTGAATTTAATTAATTTTTGGCACATGGGCCGGCCCCAGGCCCAACCTCGGTCAAACCTCAAGGGCCAGCGGGCTAACTTGGCCGGGCTTATAAGCCTCAATTTTAAATGGGATCAATAAATCCTAGCCCAACCCTACCCAATTAGCAAGTTGGGTTGGGCCGGCCTCACAACTTTCCAGTAATAGTAATTGTTTCTATATCTTAAGTGCATATACTCATAAAACTAGCTATTTCCAGAGTCCTGACAATCTTTTCGAATTCAATAAGTATTTCCGAGGTTCTATTTTATGTTACACAGTTTGGAGTATGACGATCAAATTGATTAATTTTTGCTGAGAATTTGAATATAGAATTTTCAAAAATTTTGAAATAAAATTTATATATTTAGAAATTACATTAAAAAAATAGAAATATGACTTAAAAAATTTTCTTTGACTCCCCAAGTAATAATTCCATAACATAAAGTGAAACTGGGGAGTAGTATATATCTGGATTGCATCTCTAATTAGATAGTAGTATAGCCTCCATTAATGTTGTTTGCAGATCAGATCATTTTTTTTACATTTAGCTAACATGACGTGCCAAGTCAAATAACCGAACCAATGAAATCATGCGGCGTGACGAGAAATGCGGCATGCCAAGTCAATCAAACAACAATAGAATCGTGTCAAATATGTAGATGATATGTTATGGCTAGTCAAATCAGAGCTTGTCACTAAATGAATATGGCTGATATGTAATTCAAATGGACAAAAGTCAATCGAAAGAATCAAATA